TTTAAAAAATGTATTTTTATTGATTTCAGAGAGGAAGGGAGAGAGAGAGAGATAGAAACATCAATGATGAGAATCATTGCTGGGCTGCCTCCTGTATGCCCCACACTGGGGACCGAGCCTGCAACCCAGGCATGTGCCCTTGACTGGAATTGAACCCAGAATCCTTCAGTCCGCAGGCCGATGCTCTATCCACTGAACTACACCAGCCAGAAGCCACTTGGAGCTTCTTAAATCCTGATCCAGTGGGCCTGGGTGGGCCCAGGAACTGTGTAAGCTCCTTTCCTGGAGGCCTCTGAGACACACCCTCTTAAAGAGACAACGGCCTGGGGTGCAGAATAGCCTGATGCTGAGGGTGGAGTACTGGGTCATGCAGAGGGCTGACCCTGACCCTGACCCTGCTGGCCACATAGGCCATCCTTCTTTGCACCTTTAGGGCCCCAGCACCCTGAGGACCCTATCTGCGAAGGCCTCAAGCCATTGCCTTTCAGCCTCCCTGAGCCCTTGGACTAGGCCAGCCGTGGGCAAACTATGGCCCGCGGGCCGGATCCAGCCCGTTTGAAATGAATAAAGCTATTGAAAAAAAAGACCGTACCCTTTTATGTAATGATGTTTACTTTGAATTTATATCAGTTCACACAAACACTCCATCCATGCTTTTGTTCCGGCCCTCCGGTCCAGTTTAAGAACCCATTGTGGCCCTCGAGTCAAAAAGTTTGCCCACCCCTGGACTAGGCCCTCAATGCCCAGTGTCTGTATGCAGGGTTCCACGAGGGGGCGCTGGAGACCGATGCTTGCAGCTCCGTTGCCCCTCAGGGAAGGGGTGGCCAAGAGTGCAGGGCCCTTGGAGTCTGGGATGCCAGTGGAGTAGGCAGGGGAGGGATGAGGAGGGTGAGGGGCGCTGCCCGGTAAGGGCTGTCTCTGTGCTGCAGGGGTGGGGCTGGGCTAGGGCTGAGGATCCCTGCCTCCTGTGCTTCTCAACTCCTGTTCCCCGCAAGGGAGAAGGTGCTGGGGAGAAGGTGGGATGACAGGTCCAGCCAGTCATCAAGATGGGTAGAGAAGGGTTCCAAAAACCAGCTATAGACTCCCTCTCGGCCTTCCCAGCACCTCTGGACGTGGCCAGGATTTAATCTCCTTCCCCCCCCCCACCCCCCCGAGCTGGGCTGGGCTGGTGGTGTGGGCTGTCCTGGCCTCGGTGGGCAGAGCGCGATAGGGCTCCTCCCAGATGCTGTTGCTGGGTGAGGGGCTGTCGTCCTTGGGGTCTTGGGCTCCTGGGCCCTTCAGCTGGCGTCAGGGGCTCCCCTGTGTTCCTTCTCCCTCAGGACAGCTTCTTGGAGGCTGTGGGAAGTGGACAGAGTGAGGTTAGGCTGGGACGCCCGGCAGTGGCCTCGTGGGTCCTCCCTTGAGCTGACACTGGGCTCTCCCCAGGGCCTCGAGGGCAGTCTCTGGCAGGGAACTCAGGGCCCACCTGGCAGAGGTGACTTGTGCTGACAGCGGCAGACCCAGAGCCACAGCGGCTCAATCGGAATTTGGTGGAAGCGTGGACCCTCTCCCCAGGCGTGCAACCCTGAGGCCGGCCCAGCCCTGGCCCCCCACCTCGCTGCTTTGCAGAGAGAGGGCCCGGCACATTTTGGATAACCTGCCCTGAGAGGGAAAGGCTCTCAGAATCCCGAGACACTGGCTGGGTGCCTCCATGGTCCTGCCTTCGGCCGGGGCCACAGGGGAGGTGTCAGATCCTTAGGACCCTCTCAGGGGGCACCTGCCAGTCTGCCCCAGGCTTGTCTCTGATGTGGGACAAGATTCAGACCTGGGTCAGAACCAGGTTGGAATCCTGACCCCGTGTACCAGTTTTGTGACCTTGGGTGAGTTCCCTCACCTCTCTGTGCCTCAGTTTCCCCACCTGTGAGGCAGTGAGGTCCATCACTGGGCAGGGTCATGAGGCCCAGAGGCAGTGACGACAGGGGCGCTGCTGCCGGTGCTGAGCCGTGTGGCACTCTGCCTGGCGCAAGTGGTGTGGGCCACAAGCTGGGCAAAGGCCCTGTTCTCACTGACCACCAGTGTGGGCGTTGTGAGGTGTCGGTGCCTGACGGGGAGCCCCTGCACTGTCCAGGTGGGAGGACCAGGGTTGGGCAGCTCAGCTCCAAGTGCAGGGTGGGGCAGACACCTGGGCGCCCCTATGGACTGTGCCTACCAGGACTGGGCCAAATCATGCCCAGCAGGAAGTGCCTGGAAATCAGGCAGGTGTGCTGGCCTCCTCCATGGCTCGCCCGAGCAAACACTGTTCTCAGGCACCTTCCCAGCAACAATGGCGCATTGTGGCAGCCAAGCCGGGCCTGCCTAGTGGCAGACCTGTTTGGACAAACACCCGGGCGGCATCCATTATTAGCTTATGCGTTCCGTCTCTCTGGCACCTGGCCAAAGCTGCCTTTGTGGCCAGAGCAGGAAGTGGGGGTGTCCTGGTACCCTCGGGCTGGGGCCTCTGCTCCTGCTGCCCTGTTAGGAGGAGCCAGGCCCACAGGCACCACACATTTGAGCAGCCCCCACTTCCCCAGTGGAACAAACACACCCCACGCATCAAGGTGGCCAAAGGGGTCCAGGAGTCCACCCCTCCAGGTTGAAGGGACTGGCTGGGGCTGCTGTGAGGAGGAAGGGGACCAGGAATCACCCAGGCCTGACCCCTAGCTCCTCCTCTTAAGGGTCCTGCTCTGGGAGAGCTCCAAGGACTGGTTTCAGGGCCTGGGTTCCAGTCAATTGGAGGATGCCATTCCCCAAGGTGGGGTGGGGGTGTTGGGGCTGCGGGACTCCCCACCCCACACTGTCCGGGCCCATACCTTTGTCCCACAGGTCAGAGGACTGGACCCACTTCCTCTTGTGCTGCAGGCCCTGCCCGGGCTCCTTGGTGCAGAAGCACCTGGGCCCCTCCCCCGGGGTGCTGGATGTGGCCCCCGCCTCCGGGCTCAGGCCCACCTGCGGGGTGAGGGAGTATGGTCAGGGCCAGGACCCTCCCCCGAGCCTGGGAAGCCCTAGCTTGGGGCCCCACCTGAGCCTGGGACCCACCTCACTGTCCGAGGCGCCTGGCTCATCCAGCGTGTCTGACAGCGGTCGCTGTACCTGGGCCTTGCTGAGCTCTGCGGGGTGCAGGGCGTGGGTCAGGCCAGGCTGGTGGCCCAGGAGTCTGGTGGGAGCAGGGCTCGCTCTAGCCTGCCAGACCAGGGTGAGTGGCAACAGCTCTGCAGATGAGGAAACTGAGGCACAGAAGGGTGCTGTAACCTGCCCTAGGGTCCAGCATCTGTACAGTGACCCCACCCGCTGGGGTATCCCCTGGCTTGGCCACTGTAATGGGAAATCCACATCCTGCCCCAGACTCTAATCGCTAGCGCCCTTTCCTTCACTGCCTGTGGTCAGGGACACACCTGCCTGGACCCCCACTTCCCTTCTAGGTCTGACTGTGGGGACCCTAGGGTTTGGCCTGTCAGGCCCACACTCAGCTGGTGCTGTCCACTGCACATCCCTCCCCTCCTGGGGCCACATTTGCTGGGCTCTCATGACCCCAACACTCACTCTTACCTGGGTGGTCATTGGCATCAGGACTCTGTGGGTGGGGGGACGGTTTTGGCCTCTCTCTGGACTCACCTCCTGTCCTGCCTGGAGACGGCAGGCTAGGCTGGGGCTCTGGGAGAGGATGTGGGGAGTCCTGAGGGGAAGCATGTAGGTGGCTTGAATTCATTTGGGGAGACTGTCTTGTCCCCCAACCCAGCCTTGGGCACAGCCTTTGGGACCCTGGCTGGGCTCAGCTGGAAGGTCTGCCTGCCCTGGGCGTGAGCGGCAGGAACAGGCTTTCTCACTGGGCCCAGCTGCTGGCCTGGGTGTGGGCACATGAGGCAAGACCAGGGCTGGGCCTCACCTCGGGCGGGGGGGCCGCTTCTGGCCCTGGTGCTCTGGCCCCCTTGGTGCTATTGCTTCGCCCCCAAGGTCCAGACTGGGCAAGTGGCTTGGCTCCCTGGGGCGGCTCAGGGCTGGGAGTGTGGGCAGCTTTGGGGCTAAACCTCCTTGGCCGGCCCATGGGCTTGGGGGCATCCCGGCCCCGCCCCCACTCAGAGAGGTCCAGGGGCTTGTCTGGAACAAGGTCCTCTATGGCTGTGGCCTCCTGCCCCCTGGGGCTGCCTGGGCCTGTGGGCTGTTGGTGTCGCCTCCTGGGCAGGCCTGCCCCGGCCACCTCGCCCTCTGATCCCTCAGAGTCGGAACAGATTGGAGGGGAGGGCGGTGTCTCCCCTGGCCTGGGAGGCTCCCTCATCCTGGCACCGCCAGCCTGTCTTCGTGCCTGCAGCTGCTGGGCCAGGAGCAGGCTCAGCGCCCCCTCTAGCCGAGGATCCCGCATGTCCACCAGGGCGCCCGGTGGGCCCAGTAGCCCCGAGGGCACCTCCCATGCCTCTGCCTCTCTGGTCTTCAGGATCTGGGGCTGGGGACCGCCAGGGGCTGCGGCGGGGTCCCGGGGGCTGCTCTGGGGGCTCCGAAGGTGCAGGGACAGAGGGCGATTCAGGAGGCAGAGGCGGTCAGTCTGGAGGGCGTGCTTCAGGGACTTGTGGGGCCTGGTGGAGGCCTGAGAGGCCCGCAGGAAGCTGGGGTGGGAAGAAGCCCAATGACAGGGGCTCATGGTCAACCCCATGTCCCAAGGGAGGCCCGGAGAGGTGCGGAGAGCGAGCGAGGTCAGGGGGAAGGTAGGGGAGAGGGTGGGTTCCTGGCCCCTCCCCCCTCCCCGCTCTGGAGGCCAAGCCACGTTGACCTGGAGCCTGGGGCTCTGTGGCCTCTCCCCTTCTGGGCATCAGGTACCTGCCCTCACTGGAGTGCTGGCTCCACCTCTCCCCGCAGCCCCCCACCTGTCCTGGCTGTTCAGGAGGGTCCCCGTGGGGACTTCGTGATGGGGGGAGTATCCAGGAAAGCAAAGCCTTGGGAGGGCATGAGCTCCTGCCGTGCCATGGAGGGGCTCCTGGCCACTGCCCCCCTCTCAAAGGTGGGACTAGATTGGGACAGGTGCTCAGCTGAGGCCACTCCTGGTGGTGGCTGTGGGCAGAACCTCACCTGTCCAGGGAGAGGCTGTGCTCGTAAGGCGGGCTGGGTGGGCTGTTCTGGGCAGAGAGCGTCCCATTGGCGGAGCCCTGGTCAGCGGAGCAGGCCCAGGCCCCCGGCCGCACCACGGCAATGGTCCCGTGCAGCTGGTTGGAGATATGCTGGGGGCTCTGCACAGGGTGGGCATGGTCAGCCTGGGTGGGGCTGGCTGGTGCCCTCTGCCCTTGCTCTTTGTGGGACCTTGGACAGGTCACCCACCGGCTCTGGGCCTTGCCTCCACCCATGTTGAATGGAGCTCAGGGGTCCCTGTCTGTCCCAGAGGACAGCGCGTGGCATGTGGCTGGGGCTGGGAGAGGTGGCTTGGGGTCCCTTGTCCTCACCATGTCTGAGGCCCATGGCTCGGCCAGGTCGGCACCCGGGGAGATTTTGGCCACTGGAGACATCCTGTGCTCCAGCTTCTCTGTGGGAGGAAACGTCTTGAACAGGCCAGGTTGGGAGATGGCTCAGCCCCTGTCCAGAGGCCCCCTGGCCTGGGATGCCCGCCCCCCGCCCCCAGCCTCACAGCACCTTCTCCCCGTGGACTGGCATCCAGGGGGTGGTCCTCGGCCTCCTCGTGGCCTCCTGGCAGCTTCTCGGTGCTGGCCTTCCAGGGGCCCGGGGAGATGAGCAGGGGGGGTGAGGAGGGGTCCGAGGAGCTCTCCCTGCACTGGGGCTTGGGTCTGTCTCCCGAGGGGAGGGGAGAGGGAGGGCAGTGCCCCCAGACACAATCAGAAAGGCCAGGGTGTCCTCCTGGGGGCCAAGCCACCACTGCAGGGGGACCCAGGTGACCCAGAAAGAGGGCACTTGACACCACCCGAGATATGCCCCCAGGTGCAGAGCCCCAAGTGGCAGAGCGGCTGGCGTGCTGGGGACCATCCCTGTTTTTAAGGGGTCCCCTGGGCTCCTGTCCATTTACAAGGCACCTGTGCTGGTTGCTCTGAGGTCGGGAATTGGCTTTGTGGTGAGTGGCCATGGGACACCCACCCCAGCACTGGGCTGGTCCCCCACAGGGTCCTTTCCCCCATGCTCTGCCCCTGGTGCCCCATGGACGCGTGGCGGGTGCCTGCTGTGAGCTGGGTATAGGGATCAGGGTGCTCAGGCCCCTGGTGCCTTCCCCACTCACCCCAGGCCCCGAAGCCGGGCCACCTCTTCCTTCAAGGTCTCATTTTCCTCCTGCAGTCGGGTCATCTCATTGGCTGCAAAGACACTGATTAGTGAAGGCCTGGGGGTCCTCACAGCCCCGGGAAGTCTCCCTTCTTGTCCTGTCCCCAGGCCAGGGTCGGGCATACGCAGGTGCCCCATGCATGCTTGCTGCCTGAGGGGATGGTTGGATGTGATTGACTAAACTGCGCCAGCATTAAGGCTGAGGAAAGCAATGGGGACCTTGTCCCCGGAATGCCCCCAAGGTAAAGGGGGCCTGCTCTCCTCATGTGGGGCCTCAGGGGCCTCTCGTCATCGCAGGAGTGGGGAGCTGAGGCCGAGAGGGCAGGGGACTGATGACTGAGGGACGTGCCAGGGCCAGCTGGGGCTTCGTATCATTTGTCTGTAAATTGAGGTGTGGGTGACCATCAGACAGAAGGATCACCTTCCCTCTATCCCTGTGACGCCATGTCAGGCTGAGCAGGCCCTGGGTCATGGCCCACAGAAGGGGACAGCAGGCAGCTCACTGAGGATGAAGAGGTGCTGCAGGTTCTGGAGGAGGGAGCTCTCGAACTCCTGCTGCTTCTTCCTGGCCAGCTCCTGGGTGACAGTGCAGCGGTCGCACAGGCCGGCCCGCAGCCTGTGGCATGGGGGAGGCAAGAGGTCACCCTGAGGAGGCAGACTGAGGCCCATCGAAGGGCTGGGACCCTCCAGGGATGTGTCCCTGCCTTTCCCAAACTGTGGAAGCCTGCCCCATCCCCTAAGTTTGGGAAGGAACCTTGAAAATACAGTTTACTTAAGGCTCTGAGAAGTCCTGCAGGGAAGGTCGGGGAAAGCTGTCCGCTTTAGTTTAACCTTAGAGCTTCCCAAACGCAACCACAGACCCCTTGTCCTCCCACCCTCCCTCCAATCAGGAGTATGGCCAGCAGGTGGCCGAGTTCTGGCTCACCTGTGCCCCAGCACCTGGCTCACCATGATCCAGCACCAGGCTCACCTGTGCCCCAGCACCTGGCTCGCCTGTGTCCCAGCACCTGGCTCGCCTGTTCTCCAGCACCTGGCTCGCCTGTTCTCCCGCACCTGGCTCGCCTGTGCCCCAGCACCTGGCTCGCCTGTGCCCGAGCATCTGGCTCGCCTGTTCTCCCGCACCTGGCTCGCCTGTGCCCCAGCACCTGGCTCGCCTGTGCCCGAGCATCTGGCTCGCCTGTTCTCCCGCACCTGGCTCGCCTGTGCCCCAGCACCTGGCTCGCCTGTGCCCGAGCATCTGGCTCGCCTGTTCTCCCGCACCTGGCTCGCCTGTGCCCCAGCACCTGGCTCGCCTGTGCCCGAGCATCTGGCTCGCCTGTTCTCCCGCACCTGGCTCGCCTGTGCCCCAGCACCTGGCTCGCCTGTGCCCGAGCATCTGGCTCGCCTGTTCTCCCGCACCTGGCTCGCCTGTGCCCCAGCACCTGGCTCGCCTGTGCCCGAGCATCTGGCTCGCCTGTTCTCCCGCACCTGGCTCGCCTGTGCCCCAGCACCTGGCTCGCCTGTGCCCGAGCATCTGGCTCGCCTGTTCTCCCGCACCTGGCTCGCCTGTGCCCCAGCACCTGGCTCGCCTGTGCCCGAGCATCTGGCTCGCCTGTTCTCCCGCACCTGGCTCGCCTGTGCCCCAGCACCTGGCTCGCCTGTGCCCGAGCATCTGGCTCGCCTGTTCTCCCGCACCTGGCTCGCCTGTGCCCCAGCACCTGGCTCGCCTGTGCCCGAGCATCTGGCTCGCCTGTTCTCCCGCACCTGGCTCGCCTGTGCCCCAGCACCTGGCTCGCCTGTGCCCGAGCATCTGGCTCGCCTGTTCTCCCGCACCTGGCTCGCCTGTGCCCCAGCACCTGGCTCGCCTGTGCCCGAGCATCTGGCTCGCCTGTTCTCCCGCACCTGGCTCGCCTGTGCCCCAGCACCTGGCTCGCCTGTGCCCGAGCATCTGGCTCGCCTGTTCTCCCGCACCTGGCTCGCCTGTGCCCCAGCACCTGGCTCGCCTGTGCCCGAGCATCTGGCTCGCCTGTTCTCCCGCACCTGGCTCGCCTGTGCCCCAGCACCTGGCTCGCCTGTGCCCGAGCATCTGGCTCGCCTGTTCTCCCGCACCTGGCTCGCCTGTGCCCCAGCACCTGGCTCGCCTGTGCCCGAGCATCTGGCTCGCCTGTTCTCCCGCACCTGGCTCGCCTGTGCCCCAGCACCTGGCTCGCCTGTGCCCGAGCATCTGGCTCGCCTGTTCTCCCGCACCTGGCTCGCCTGTGCCCCAGCACCTGGCTCGCCTGTGCCCGAGCATCTGGCTCGCCTGTTCTCCCGCACCTGGCTCGCCTGTGCCCCAGCACCTGGCTCGCCTGTGCCCGAGCATCTGGCTCGCCTGTTCTCCCGCACCTGGCTCGCCTGTGCCCCAGCACCTGGCTCGCCTGTGCCCGAGCATCTGGCTCGCCTGTTCTCCCGCACCTGGCTCGCCTGTGCCCCAGCACCTGGCTCGCCTGTGCCCGAGCATCTGGCTCGCCTGTTCTCCCGCACCTGGCTCGCCTGTGCCCCAGCACCTGGCTCGCCTGTGCCCGAGCATCTGGCTCGCCTGTTCTCCCGCACCTGGCTCGCCTGTGCCCCAGCACCTGGCTCGCCTGTGCCCGAGCATCTGGCTCGCCTGTTCTCCCGCACCTGGCTCGCCTGTGCCCCAGCACCTGGCTCGCCTGTGCCCGAGCATCTGGCTCGCCTGTTCTCCCGCACCTGGCTCGCCTGTGCCCCAGCACCTGGCTCGCCTGTGCCCGAGCATCTGGCTCGCCTGTTCTCCCGCACCTGGCTCGCCTGTGCCCCAGCACCTGGCTCGCCTGTGCCCGAGCATCTGGCTCGCCTGTTCTCCCGCACCTGGCTCGCCTGTGCCCCAGCACCTGGCTCGCCTGTGCCCGAGCATCTGGCTCGCCTGTTCTCCCGCACCTGGCTCGCCTGTGCCCCAGCACCTGGCTCGCCTGTGCCCGAGCATCTGGCTCGCCTGTTCTCCCGCACCTGGCTCGCCTGTGCCCCAGCACCTGGCTCGCCTGTGCCCGAGCATCTGGCTCGCCTGTTCTCCCGCACCTGGCTCGCCTGTGCCCCAGCACCTGGCTCGCCTGTGCCCGAGCATCTGGCTCGCCTGTTCTCCCGCACCTGGCTCGCCTGTGCCCCAGCACCTGGCTCGCCTGTGCCCCAGCATCTGGCTCGCCTGTTCTCCCGCACCTGGCTCACCTGTTCTCCAGCACCCGCACGTTGTCTTTCAGAGCCTTCTGCTGCTCCCTGAGCTGGTGGTTCTTGGCACAGAGCTCCTCTACCCTTTGGGCATCCCTGTAGGGGGGAACCAATGAGATGGGGTTTCTCTCTTGCCACCTGCAGTTCTCTCTTGCTACAGAACTGAGCCCCATCTGGACGTGGGGAGCCCCTCCCCTCAGTTCTCAATGTCTCATGACGTGTGTTCCCACTGATAATTGGTACTGCAGGCGCCTGGAGTGGATGTGGCTTGCCCAGCCCCGTGGAGGGTCCCTGTTTGCAGTCCTGGCTCACCAGCTATTGGATGCATGACATGGGCCAGTGGCTCCCTCCCTCCTGCCCATGCGGAGCCTGTTTCCCTTTGTACATGGGGAGTTGGGGGGTGGGGGCTCCCTGGCATTTGGGAGGATGAAGTGAATGACTGGTGAGCTGCTGTCCTTCGCATCCGTTCCCGCTGGGCCAGCCTGTCTGACTCACCGGCACCGCTCTGAGTTCAGTTCCAGAAGCTTGTTCTGCAGGCCTGGAGGGTGGAGGAAGGGGTGGAGGGTCAGGCCCGGCTGTGCAGGCAGCCCCTGCAGCAGAGCCCAGGGCACCTCCTGTTCCTCTCCACACCCGCACCCCTGATGGGTCGCCTCACTGGCTCAGTCTCGGGACTGCTCAGGACCGCTGCCCTGGGCCCAGTGTCTCTCTTCCCAATGGGGGCTCTGACTCTGGTGTCTGTCTGGAGGATGGTTAGGACCTCGAAGCTGGGAGTAACAAACCACCTAGCCGGGTCCTGGGAGGGGCATTAAGTTTGGGTGCAGCTAATATTGAAATAGAATGGGCTCTTGGGAGGGACCCTGGCAGACTCCTCCATGCCCCAAGCAGACCTGCCTTTCCAAGTCTCTGGGGAGGTGACCCAGGCCCTTTGGGACCTCTGGGGGGTGGGTGCTTGTGGGATGGTTGGTCTCAGGAGGGTCTGGCCAGGGCCCAGGGGCCCGGGGAATGGAGGGACAGGTGTGTGGGCGGGGCAGAGCTCAGCCTGGTGTCCAGGAGTGAAACGGAGGGTTTCAGATCAATGCCCTGGACGGGCCTCCGGACCCGTGAGCTCCCGTTCTTAGAGAGGGGCCTTGCTCGGGGGACGCCGAGACCCCTGTCCTGAGCGAAGGAGGCTCCTGGCTCTTGGCAGCGGGCCTGGCTTTTTATTTCCACCCGGCCTGGGCTGACCGTTGGGAGAAGCCCTGCAGGGCACACTTGGGGTGCTGATCTGAGGCTGGGCACCTGGCCACGTGGATGCTCCGGGCTCTGAGGCATTACTTCCTTCTGGGCCTGGAAGGCGAGGTCCTAGGTTTGGAGGCGATGTGTGGGAGCACCCTGGCCTGGCCTCGGCTCTTAGGCCACTGGTCCAGGTGAGAGCCACCTGTGGAGACCAGCCCCACCCCACCCACCCTGCCCCTGCGGCACTCACCCAGGACCTCCTTCTCATGGATGTCCTTCAGCCTGTTTAGGGACTCCATGAAGCTCTCCATGGCCCTCTGGGCCCTGGCCAGGCCCCTCTGTGCTCAGGTGCAGGATGCCCCTCGGTCCTACTGCCCCTCTGTTTCCAGCCTGTGGAGCAAGAAGTGGGAGAGGGGCTCTTTGGCTTGGGAAGGGCCTATGGGCTGTAGGGTCCAGTCATGGGCCACTGCTTGGAGAGGGGCTAGGTGCTGGCCCCGTGGGTGTTGGTGGAGTGTCCTGTCTGTGGGCCACCCCCACTCCCACTGGGTCATGTCCACACTGAGGACCCAGTGGGCTCCTCTACACTGTCCTGCTCTTAGCTTTCATACTTTGGGGGAACTTGGAGGGGACAGGAGGGATGGGACCTGTCCATTCAATATCCACCACCTAATCCCGGCCTCCCGCAGGCATGTCCCCTACTCTCCCCCCTCCCCCTCCCTCTGTGGCTGCAGATTGGCCCCAGGCCTGGGAGGCTGGGCCCCTCGTCAGGAGCCTTGGCTGGGCCTGGCCTGCAGTGGCTCAGAGCACCCACGTCATGCTCCATGAGCCCATTAGCCAGCTGTGACATGCAGTCCCTCTGGGGAACTCTCTCCAGCAGTTCCTTCCGTGAGGGGTGGGGGCACTGCCGGCTACGGGGTGCCAAGGGACGCCAAGGCTCAGACCTCAGAACAGGGCCCCCTCACTCAGTCTGGTGTGCTCTGTCTTGGCATGGTAGTGTGCGCACACGCACTGTGTATGTGTGTGCACATGTGCGCACATGTGTATGTGTGTGTACGTGTGTGTGCATGCTGTGTGTGTGTGTGTGTGCGCGCGCGCGCGCGTGCATGTCAGGGTGCTGAGGCCCAGCGCTCTCTGTGCCCACCTTGAGCCTGAGTAGTTGTGGATGCTAATTTTGACCCCAGGTCTATGTTTACTGAGGCTGAGCCAAGCCCCCTGCATGCCCGCTGCAGGGGTGGGGTCTGTGGCCAGCTCCCTGGGGCCCTGAGTCTCACAAAGAGCAGAAGGATCCTGTCCTGCCTGCCCGAGGCCAGAGACCTCTTCCCTCTGGACCCTGAGAACAGACAGCCAGGCTCCTGTAACTCAGAACCCTCTCCTCTGGCCGCCCGCACTGACCCCTCAGGAGCAACTGTTGGCAGGACTTCTACTTATGCCCGGAATCTCACCTTTCCCTTCTTGCCACCCCACACTGGGCCCAAGCCACCATGGGACTGAGTTGCATCTCCCGGGCCACTGCACCTGGCTCCCTGCCTCTGCCCGGCCCCAGCACGCACTCTGCACAGGGCAGCAGCGCAGGCCCTTGAAACCTCTGCTCAGAATCCCCCCTCGGCTGGCCTGAGTTCTGGCCAAGGCCACAGAAGGGGGCGTGGTCTCATTTGCATTTAAAAGGTTGCCCTGAGGATGTCTGAGTTCGCAGCAGCACCCTACAAAACAGCCCCAAACTAGAAAACCCCAAATGCCAACTGCCAGATGTCCCTGGCCAGAGGAATGCCCCAGCCCCCACTGCCATCACTGAGTGACGCGGGAGCAGAGCGGAAAGCCAGCCTGCTGCTCTGGGCTCTCGGAAGGGAAGTGGGGGTGGCAGGTGCCATGGGGTCACAATGGAACAGGTCTTATGACCCCAAGAGAAGTCGGGCGCAGCAAGCACAGGGCTAGGACTGCCCCCTGCGCCGGGAAACAGACCATGAGCCTGAGTCAAAGAACAGTGGGAAGCCTGTACTTCTGTACGGGAGACAGCCTGGCTGGAGGACAGGTGAGATCCTGTGCCCTGCAGTGTCCAAGGAGCCGGCTGTGCAGGGCCTGGGGGTGTGGTGGAGGGTGGAGCAGCAGGAAGGCCAGGCTCCCCAAACTCGTTTACCAGACCTGCCTGGGCTGCGGGGAAGTGGGGGTGCCCGCATGGTGGCTCTGTGTCAGATGATGTAGCAAAGATGCTGAATTCCGGAGGCTGGGGAGGCCAGGGCTGGAGCAGAAGGGGTATAAATGGTATCGGCCCGTTTCCTGAGCGCTGTACACACTGTCACTTTCATGACAGTCTAACCCTGACCACACCGTAAAGAGTCCACTCTCCAGATGGGGAACTGAGGCCCCAAAAGATCATGTCACCCTTCCCAGCTGCCCAGTGGAGGCGGAACCCAGGGTTTGAACTTTCTCTGAGGGCTGTGGGTGCTGGGCCCTCACCCCATGAGGACAAAGGACATGTCCTAGTGGTCCTGCTGTGCTCACTATGCTGACCTTGACCTCATGGTGGGGCCCCTGGAAGGTAAGACTTTGAACTGGGGCCTCCATGGGCTCAGGTCTCTAGCAGGAGGGTGAGGAGGGCGGGGAGGGGCTGAGCTGCAGTGCCTGAAATTCCACCCAGACCTGCCTGACAGGTTCCTCTTCCCTCCAACACCTGTGGTGGCCGTGGGCTGTGGGCTGTGGGCTGGGCCAACGCCCACTAAGGAGGCGCCCAAGGGAACCCTTGGTGTCATGGGCTGGGAGAAGCCTGTGTGGGCTCTGGGTCCAAGCAAGAGGCAAACATTGATCCTGAAGAGGTCACTGTGGTGCCCTCTGTAGGGCGCCACCCCTGCCCCGCCCGGCTCCTCTTTGTGCCCCAAACTGCCCTGCCAGCCCTCCCGGCTGCTTCTCTCAGGGTCCCCAAAGGGCGGCAGGAGACACCCTGCATGCTGGGCAGGGGAACAGCATGGACAAGGGTCCTGGGGCAGGCCTGTGCGGGTCGCTGACAGCAAAGTTGGAGTCTCCTGTCTGCACACATAGCCCAGGGCCACCCAGCCTGTGCGGCAGTGCCGTGGGGACAGTGTGACTTTCCCAGGAGGGCAGGTGACCGAGTGCATTGTCTGAGGCGAAGTGGACAGTCAGCCTCCAGGGGCACTGTGGGTAGCGTGGCCCTGGGTGTAGCTTCCTGCTGGGAGGTCAGCGGGCCTCCCTATCATGCGGCTCTGTGTCTGCAGGAGTGCCCAGGGCAGTGGGGGCTGGGGGTTCAGAGAACTCTGGAGGCCTGTGCACAGGAGAGGTTGGCCTGAGCTGCTCCTGGGGGTGGGGCTTGGAAGCAAAGACCTGAGTTGTGCTCCTTAGGGCCCCAGACAGGCCAGGGCTCCCCAGCCCTCCACCTCTGGATGCCCAGGCTGCAAGTTTTCTGCTGGGGCTGAGCCCCTGGAAGGGCAGGTGGGAGGGAAGGGCAGGTGGGCCGGCCATGCTGAGTCAGCCAGGCCAGATTGATAAAGACATGGGGGTCCAAGCCATAAGCCTACAGCCCTGGTAGGGGCCCTGTCCTACCTTTACCTTCTGTGCAAACTTGGGCTAGTGGTTTTACCTCCCAGACCCTCAGTTTCCTCATCTGGGGGTAACACTACCCTTCGTATCAGGGACTGTGAGGATCCTTCCCAGTAACACGTGCCCAGGGGACGCCCGTCCAGGTTGTGTATGTCCAGGGGACGCCCGTCCAGGTTGTGTATGTCCAGGGGACGCCTGTCCAGGTTGTGTATGTCCAGGGGACGCCCGTCCAGGTAGTGTATGTCCAGGGGACGCCCGTCCAACAGAGACATGCTCAGCCCAGTGCCTGGAAGGCTGAGCGCTCAGTTGACTACAAATGGAGACCCTGCGTCCCCCACCTGTAGTCTACCGATAGTGCCTCCCTCACATGCGGCCCCAGGCACTGCCATTTCTGCTTACAGGACCCCCTCTCCTCTTGGGCCAGTTCAGGTCCCATTGCCACAAAGGCACTTTGCAGGAGGACACCGCCCCCCGCCCCAATTCAGAAATCTGTAGTGATGGTGCACACTGTATAGACACTTCAGGCCACTGAGTCTTGGTGGCTGTGCCCAGGACAGGTGCCATCTGGCCCCCAGGCAGGGTGGGCACTGAGGCCCCAGCTGTAGCCCCAGCCTGGATTGGGCTCTGTCAGGTTGAGCGGCAAAGCCCCAGGGGTGTGGTTTCTGGCCCTGCTCCTGGGCCAGTGGGGGCCCCCGGCTCCTCGCCCCTCGCTGCCGCCCTGGCTGGGGCAGTCCTGCTCCAGCAGCCCCGGTGCCGGAGCACTGTGGCCGGCCCATACGCTGCTCCTTCACCATCGGTCTGTCTGTCTATCCACCTACCCACAAAACAACTATGACGATGCTGCAGTAGCAGCAGCTGCTGCTTCCTCATGCCCACTGTGCCAAGCATGGTGCCAGGACTCTACATGCTTGCAGGGCACTAAAACGATCCCAAAGCTTCTCTGCAGGAGTGTGGAGAGGTCACCGGATATACCGTCCCCAAGTGACAGACCCTGACCTCCTGCTGGGCCTGCAAGGGGCCAGGCACGCCGTCGGAGCCCACTGCACGCTGCGGCATGGGGATTTGTGCACCCACTGCGTGCCCAGGCTCGGGGCGTGCGGCCATCTGAGGAGGTGCTCACTGGCCCGCTCCACAGGCTCCGGCCCTGAGTCCTTGTCCACCTTCTGAGGGGGCCTCTGCGCGGCTGGGCACTCACCTGGCTGAGCCTCAGTGTCCCCCTCCACACAGACAGACGTGAGCTTTGTCCCTTGCTCCTGGAGGGGGGGGTCTCTGCCACCTCAAGCTGTCAGGACTCCTCAAACACAGTGGTCAGGGGCCAGTCTGGGAGCCCCCACGTGCCAGCACCCAATAAGTGCTCCATGCTGTGGCTTACTGGGTCTCATGCTTGCGCATGGAGTGGCCACGCCAACCCTGTTTATAGAGGAGCAAGAGAGGTTCACAAGGACACAGCCAGGGCAGAAATGGGGCCTCCTAATGACCCCTGGGCCAGCTCAGGGTGGACGGTCATGTCCAGAGATGTGTCACTGCCAGGGAAGTTTCTAACGTCACCAGACACATAGACCTGTGACACACATGCACACCTGATGCCCACACCCATACACATGGATCCTGATAATATCCTAACACAAGTTAGAGCACATCCCAACACGAGTGCCACACACACATGTGCCCCCCTCAGCTACCTCCCCCGCCACACACCCAGCACTGTCCTGGCCCAGGGAGAGCTGCACATGAGTGTGCATGATGCACGTGTGCACACATAGTTGTGCATCCCACAGGCGCGTGCACACATGCACAGAGGAGCAGGACAGGGTGCTCCCAGGTGGGCTGAGGCTGCTTCTTGGCTCAGGTAACTGTGGGCCTTGCAACCTGACTTCCAGGGCATGGGCTACCTGCTGCACCCCTGAGGCCTCACTGGGGAGGCTGAGCAGGACCCATGGCCCCCCGGAGGCCTCCCCAGAGACACCAAGGTCAGGGCAGCCGTGTCCCACAGCCCTGTGCCCCTCCTCACCCCCAGGGCTTCACCCCGCCCACGAGGACTCAGCTGCGGGGCAGATCCAGGATGAGGTGCCTGGCCAGCTGCCCATCCCGGCGCCCAGACCCTCACTCCCAGTCATGACTCTGCACCCTGCCCCTGGTCAGGAAGCTCACTGGGCCCTTCCCCCTGGACGAGGCACCTCAGAACAGGTGGCTGCACCCCTCCAACCAGCCTGGCCAGCCCACCTCCTGCCCAGCAAGCAGGGGCTGGGGTGCCTTGGGTGACCCCACAGTGACCTCAGCCCCTCCCCTGCCTCCAGCTGCTGGAGCTGTGGGGTCCCGGGCCCCGGTACTCACATGGCCCCTCGCCCGCCCGTGTTGACCTCCGCGGACCTTCCTGCCGAGATGGAGGCAGCAATGTGTGAACCTGCACAGGCAGCGCGACGCAACTTGGCCCAACCCGCTGGGCAGGTTCTGGGGCTCCTTGCCAGGAGCAGAAAGGAGGCAGGGCCCAAAGCCGCCCAACAGGCTCTGCCATTGCAGAAAGTGGTGGAACAGGTCGTGTCTGACCCCACATAGAGCTGGGATTGTTTCTCCGGAACACATGGCCCGCACCTCTGGCCAGTTAACAAGGAGACTCTGGGGCCTCCAATGTGGAGCGGGGCGGGCAGGAGGCAGCTGTCTCCTTCTTGTCGCCTTGGTGCAGGTGGGCAGCAGGCCCCTCCCCCTCACATCCTGCTCACGGAGGCTCACCTCTCTGGCCTCGGTGTCCCTGTCTGCAGACTGAGGATAAGGGGACAGGGCTTGTTCCCATGGGAGCTCAGGGGCCGGATCCCTTGCTCCTGGATGGGAAGTGGCCCCACTGGGTCTGGGGCTGCCCTGCCCAGTGGTGCCCCTCTGGCTCTCGCTGAGGACAGCAGTCAGGCCTACGAGTGGGGCAAGTTGGGGGGCCCGGTGGGGATGGGCCCAGGGGTTCTGCTCGGGTATGGAAGGGGCTGGCATGTGGTTTACATGTTTGTTCTCTGCACAGGGACCTTGTGGCCCCACTCACACAGCAAAGAGCTGGCCTCTGAGGGCTGCGGCCTCCCCATGCTGCTGCCCCTGCACCCCTGCCCCAGCCCCATGCCACCCTTTACCCGCTCCCTGCACATACCCCCACACTGTCCTCCCTGCCCCAAGTGCCCACACCTCCTTCATCCCCACCCCAAGCTCCTCCCTTCACACCCCTCCAACTCCCCCCACCCTCACTCAGCTCGGAACTCCCAGGCTCAGAGGGGGACCCAGGTGAGGCCCCAGGGGCTCTGGGAGGGAGCAGAGTCAGCGTAGAGCTCTTCGCAGGTTCCTGCGTAACGCCCCCCGCCGGCCACCCTGTGAGAGGATCTGTGCGCAGGCCGGAGACCTTTTCATGTGCTTGCGTGTGCTTGCGTGTGCACTGCATAAGGGAGTGATGTGGCAGTGTGTGTACAGCCTGATGTATGGGGGCCTCCCCACGGCTTGTGCCAGGTCACACCCTCCACCCCAGACTTGTGCAGACGCTGAATATCCGATGCTCATTCGTGCACACATACACGCAACAGGTGCTCACTCAGTGCTGCACAGTCAGGCAGGTGTGTGACGAGCCACTGAGGTCGCACTGCACCTCTGTTGTGGGACCAGCCAGGGTACAGGTGAGATGGCCAATGCAGCAACCTTAGATCTCACCTGGCGTGTCCATCTGGCAGTTATTTACAGAGCGCCCACTGTGCGCAGGCCCTGGTGATACAGAACAGAGGTCCCTGTTTACAGAGCACCCACTGTGCGCAGGCCCTGGTGATGAGGGTGCCCGGAGATGGAGCGCAGGACAGGAGGGAGGAGTGAGTGGGGGACACAGTGGGGGAACAGAGGGGGTGAAGCCACCTGGCTGGAGAGTGCCTGTGGGGATGGGAGGGACCAGGGGTGCACAATCACGCCTGTGGCTGGCCAGGGGACAGGTGACACTACTGGGCCAGCCAGCGGCTGGAGGGACACCAGGCCAGCATTGTCAGCCTCTGAGAGCCCTGAGCAGAGGGAGGGGAAGACACTAGAGAGGGGAGGAGGGCCGCTGCG